CTCCGTAGCACTGCTCGCGATGGCTCTAAGTCTTTGCACGCCACTGAACCCCACCGAACGTACACCCCTCTTTCTCAATCTACACCCTAACAATCAAGCCAAGAGGTCGCCTTTTACTTTGACCATGTCAATGAGGGACGCGGAAAGTTTGCTTTGGCCCAAACACTCTTATTGTTCGAGTCTGCTTACCTCAGCCGATAGCCGAAAAGCACTTTCTTGCTTTTACCCGCCACCAAAGACACCCAGCTACCAAGTACAGGGATGACTGGGCGAAGCGACCGGCGAGGCAGGTTATTTTTACACTCAGTCTTTCGGGCACCTTGCTTCAATCATGGCTACAAGGGCAGGGGTGAAGCCAACGCTACCGGTATCTTTTCAATTCTTCGAATCATTTTCTGTTCTCCAGTTCCCGCTTTGGAGAGTGGCTAGAATGCAGTGTCTGGTAGAAACTGGCAACAGTGAACTAGAATTGCACATAGTTTTTAGGCAGCTGTGACAACACAGGGACCACGATCGATAGCGAGGCAGGGAAACTGCCACAGCACATACGACAGGTTGCACAACGAGGCTACCTCGGCACATTGGCGAAGAGATCCTTGTTAGGCAATATTGTAGGGAAAGAACAGCCAAAATGGAAGTCAACAAGGAAACAAGTACATCCAACTACAAAAAGAGGAAACAAACTCACCAGCATTTCATCGAGCCCGAGAAAAGAACCCCCAACTTTTCCGCCTCAACTTTCGCGAAGCGCCCTACACGCGCTACCCGGCGGAAAAGTTTTGTTGGTAAAGAAGTTCCAGTTGGCCACTGGAGAAACCCGCCGGCCTCGGAGTTAGGAAAGAAGCATATAGTGGTTGCATATATTGACGCAAGCGATTATCTGCGCACGCGAATTGGAGCTATTGTCAAAGATGGCGGTAAGATGCCCAAGAACTTCTCACGAGCTTCTCGTGCTGGCCGGGTCACATTCGACCAAATTTGCTTCTATGCACACCTTGTCGGACTAGACCGTTTGCAAGTCAAAGAGTACGTCAGACAACGAGTTGGTGCTCTCGAGAGCACGGAACAAGACCGCATCGTGGCGGAGCAGAGGGCTGTCGACCAAGCAATAGTCGAGGGAAGAAGGCTTCTCCAAATCAGCAACCCCCTCGGATACCCTTCTAAGCTGCCACAGGTTGCGAAAGGAGAAGACTTGGCAATAACACTCGATAATGGCGCTCCCGGCAGCACGGCTCAACCTTCCTCCGTTTGCACTCTCCACGAAAGCTATCCTCCTACAGGATCAACTTTGAGCTATTGGCACGGCGAGAAAACCTTGACTAAAAGACACGCTGGAGGCGTCTACATCGCGGCACTAAGCGGGCACGAGCTTGATGAGTATCATCGCACGCGCCTGTACCAAGGTACTTGTGGCGAGGCGACCGGCGAAACGCCCGGCACGCGTGGGCTTGACGCGGCTGCCGCCGCTACTAAGACTCGCACGTCGGCTCATGCTTTTTCGAAGGGGACCCAGGCCATGCCTGCGAACTGCAGCAGCTTTCATGAACCAGCCTTGCGTTCATACGACGATAAATACTCTGTGCAGAAGGCTTCTGGATATAGCAACGCCATTCTTGCTGCCCCTACATGCAGCACAAAAAACTGTCCCCGGACTACCTATCCCATCCATGCCCAAGCTGTTTCCGCGCACGACAGCAGCAGCCACGCCCGGCATAGTCCTTCATCCAGCAACGAGTGGATGGAGACTGCTCTAAACAACACCGCGCACGCCACTGCAGATGGCGAAAGCAACTACGCCGAGGCCGTACACACCACCGACGCGGCGACTATTGGCGTCAACGCACTCAACATATACCAGCATCGAAGATGCGAACCACCCAAATTGCCACAACCGGGATCTTGGCGAAACGTTTCTCCTATCGCATACACACTGCCAATGCGTTTGAGCCCCAATGAGATGGAGCGCGAGGCGACCAACTATGCAACTCACCAAAGCAACAGTAGCTGCAGACAGAGTCTGGACCTTGTCGGACTTCCGCGAAGCTACGAGTCTGCTGCGCTTCAAGCGACTTTACGAAGACGTAGCGACTCAAAGGACACCAAGGTCTCTGACGGCGTCGAGTACGAACAAACACTCTGGGCCTCTAAATGGGAAGCGCGTATCGCAGGATACTCCCAGGGCTACTATAGAGACTGAAACCTTGATTGGTGTACCGGTATGATGCATATGTTAGTATGCTGGTAGTATGCGATAGTGCAGAGTCCCGGGGCTATCCTAGCTTGATTCCTTATACAATACGCATTCTGCGAGCCTGCCTTACATATATCTCAATTAAAATTGATGTCGTAATCTACTGGACTAAACTTTGGCTGATTGCTGTCTACCATCGTTTTAATCATGTGAAAGACAAAGATCAAAGAAAGAGCATAGATTGATCGGTACCTAACAAGAACGTAGCGCTAAGTGTAGGTTTGCGGGCTGCTACAGAGCCGCGGAGCAAATATCTTTAACAAATCAATCGAATACACATTAAAATGTGACTGAAAAAAAGTGAAGATGGATGCTCGGATAATCCTGGCGACGTGCCGCTCCCAGTTAGTTCGAGCTTTTCACTGAGGCGACACTGAAGTCGCTCAGACAACAGTATCGTGATAAAAACTCCGAAGCAGCCTCCGCAGCGCCACTGATCATACTGAGCAATTCTGTGAGGCTCGCTTTTGAATTCGCAATGACTTGCTGTAGATTCAGATCCAAGTCATGACCAGGTCGCCAATCTTCCACCTTCGTATCAACGACAAGCTTTTTGTAGTTTCTGGTTCCTGTCCTTTCCATAATCGAAAACTATCGCCGAATTCGCTATGCTGGGTTGACTGAAGCGATAAAAAGGCCAACCACTATTATATTTCCGTTGACAGTTCCAAGTGCCAATCGGAATGGGTGTTGCGAGTGCATCTAGTTGGTCTTGGTGGGGAGGGCCGTCCATTTCTGCCTATAAATCTCGCTGGCCACTACAGGCTCCTCACTCCCGCAGATCAAGAAGGAGTTCCTTGCAAATACAGCCCCATGCAACTGTCTCCAGAGGCGTTGTATTGGAGTTCTTGATACCGTACTGTAATTATTTCCACAGTCTTCTTTGAGCGGGATGGTGGTACGTCGAGGGCGCGCTGCTGTTGGCCACGGCAAAGCACATGGGCCATGCTGAGTACGCAGAGGACACGCATCTCAAAACAGTACTCAACAATCAAATCTCTTTCTCTGCCTAGTCCACGTTGGTCCGACGAGTTCGTGATTGTCAACACAGCACCTGGCCGGGCTGGTTTGCGCAAGTGACGCTTGTCACACTTGCTTCTCAGACTCCGGAAAACGACTAGCCCGACCTGACTCCGCAAACTCGTATAGACGTTCGTTGTGTAGAGCTATATTGAACTTCTCTAGATCAATTTCTACGACCGAAATTTCGTCCTCTACATTGAGACTTTTGATTTACATGCGGAGCCACCGAGCGCCGCAGCGTGAGAGAAGTTGTCTCTTGTCGCCGGGAGGCAGCCAATTGTGAAAGGCGGACACATCTTACCGCACGCCAACTTACAAGGCAGACGCCAGAGGAAGCAGCTAAAGCGAGTCCGGGCGGGCTAGCGACAGAGCACATACTTGCCATTTAGACGTTGCTCGATGATGCCTGCAGCTGCCGCATAGTTGATCAACAACGTGTCGCATTCGAAAGTGATTTCGTGGTCAAGTATCATGTGCGACCAGACGTGTTTAGTCCAGCGCTCCCAGGCATAAGTACCGCGGAAGACTTCGACACACTCTTTCGTGGGACAGGACAACGCTTCTGGTCGTGTCCTGCACGTCCGTCGGCAACTATCCACGTGTCTTTCAATGTCTTGGTGGCTACCCTCATGCACCCGACGAAGATGCTTTGTGAGACTTCGTTTATAGAAGTACTCTTTGAGATTGCCGTTCTCGTAACAGGGTAAACACCTGTATATTTCGAAACGGAGATGTACCACTTCAATATGTCGCCGCCAGTCCCATTGATCTCTGTGTTCAGTTTTGCAGCCGGCGAAGGAGAAACAACACGGAACGTTCCTGTAGCAGGTACCACCATTCCCGACGCTGCCTGAGTTGTCCCGACCTTTGAGCCGTGAGGCGGCCATAGACTGAATTTGGCCTTTTGCATGTCCATTTTCAGAATCTGATCCGTAGCCCAGGTAGCGCGAAGCTGAATTCGAGTCCGAACTCGGGTAGCTGTTCTTGTATTCTAAAGGGAGGACTCGAGGCGGCGATGCTAAATTGGCATCTTGGCGACCGCGTGCGAGGTCTATCGGCGCAAAGAGCCCGCTGTGAAAAGGAGCATGTCTATGCTTAGTGTTTAGTGGCCAATACTGTGGTAATGGAGTGAGATATATATCATTGTTTGTATCGGGTGTCATCATGAAGGGACTGGTGTTGTTGGCCTTGGCGATGGCTGTCATGTCGGCGAATAGTTGTCCAGTAAAGAACGTCCGGCTTTTGTGTAAGTCGTGGAGCGCTTGAATAAGACACTTTGTGAAGTTCGATGAGTCTGGGGCAGTTTGCTGCCCTGCGGCGATCACTTGTCTCAACCCGTGGCTAGAGGGAATAGTCTCGAACTTAAAATAGGTGTCCAGCAAAAGAAGTATATCAGCCCGGGTATATTCAAAGATAAGGCAAATTGCAGCCCATTTCAGTCTGAACGAGCGACGTTGGGCAGATCTATAGCAAGTCAGACGCTGATCCATACGGACGAATACCATAGTCGGGCAAAACATACCGAGCCCAGCATAGCTGCATGGACGAGTCAAGAAAGCCATATCCTGTGTAGTAGATAACAAGAAGACGACTTTGATTCGCTCTTTCGAGAAAAGCCGCCAGCGGTGCTGCGAGTTTTGTAATGGGATTTTCCACGCAGGGAATCTCGAAAGTTTGCGTGCAAAAGCGGTAGTCGTTTTCTAAAACCCGCTGGACTTCGAGTACGTTGCCTCTGGCTGATGACTCGCCCTCCCAACTCAGCAGCAAGGCAGCAACACCCTGGTTTTCGTCGGTGGTTTGGGGGTAGTCAGAGTAGTTATCGAATTTTCGCTTTAAAGTAGGTGACACGACGTCGTGTGGATTCTACAGCATGTTAGCGGCGGTACCGGTATGAAGTGTGTTATGGCGGGAAAATCGCACCAGATTGTGAGACAGATGCTCGGAGCCGAAGGATGGCGCGGGAGCTGTGCCATCGTGGATATTTGCATCGCCACAGAGTATAAACTGGATTGAGTGACTCATGACATGAGTTTGGGACGGGCGTCTGTTTAAAAGGTAAGGAAAAA